CTGTCTAATTATATATAAAAATTTTTTACCAATAAATCTCTTTATTGGTAAAAACAACATTATATATCCATTATATATTTCAACATTATATATCCTGATAAGAAAATTTCTTATATAAAATTAGACAGAAATAGTTATAGCTTTTTATACAAATCTATAGCACACAACGAAAATGTCCAAAATATACCACAAGAATATTTTAAAAATATCGTAATTTTTGCGGCATATATTGATTTTGTGTTGTTTTTTTCAACATATATTTTGCAGCATTACATTTATTATTTAAAACTTACCGAAAGAAGCAATGGAAGATCGATACGGATGATTCCATGAAAGGCAAAAAAGTGCACTTGTTGCAGCTGGAAATATGTTACTGCTTCTATACTGCAATCCTGCAATTATTTAACAATTATTCATTTATAATTCTTTTTTTGAGTGAACAAAAATGGACAAATTATGGATACTCAAACGTGATACTAATTTTGTAAAAATTTACATTTAGAAATACCAAATTCATAAATTTTTTGCGATGTTGTATTTAAAATTAAATAAGAGCAATAAAAAATATTAGAGAAAAAAATTAAAAAATTTGTTTGATATACTTTTAAGAAGAACTTTTAAGAAGAAATAAAACTTACTTAAATAAAATAACGTAAAGGTAATAGCCCAATTAATTAATTAAAATAACTTAATACATTAGAATGCTAATACAAAAGACGAATGCTAATAATTCAATATAAGAAATTTAAAAATTTTTCATGATAATACAGTTGTATAATCAAATATAGATAGTTAAATTTTACTAAATCTTTTAATTAAGTCTAATTATCTAAATCTTAATTTATTTTCTAATGGAATTTTAATTAGATTTAAATCTGCTGATATTAATTAAATAAAAAACAATATTTATGAAAAACTAAAGTAGACTTAAATTTATAGAATTTTTACCTGCGTAAAATTTCTTTTTCCAAGAACGGCTGACGACGGTGTAAAAGCGATCTTGCCAACGCGATTAGCCTTGAAAGAAAACAAAAAGACATAAATTCAGTCGATCAATTATATGAAATCCTTTCTTAAAAATAAATTCTTTCTTAAAAATAAATCGACATACTTGAGTCGCAGTCGCGTGACAGATAATAGTAATGATTAGTAAATTCATTACACAAGCGGACACCAGTAATATTTCCCTCATCATCAGGAGGGGTTGTGACATCACAGAGTCATCATTGATGGTATAAATGCGCGTAAGTGTGTTGAAAGACATACTAGAGATCCACAGCAAAAGTTGCAGCGCGTATACGGAATTTATCATTTCGGTTGCATTGGTGAGACACGAGTGTAACCACCATACTTCCTGCAAGCGAAATTGCTTGTTGGAGCTGTCCAACACCATGATTTTGCCATCTATTTAAACACACAATATCATCGTGTGCGATTATTTTTAATTGTTATCGGAGCGGTTATTTAACTACTATTTGCATGTAAAGAATTATTAATAATCGCGCATCAAGCTTTACTTATATAAAATTTAATATAAAATTAGCAGACAATGTTACTTAAATGCTTTTTCAATATTTATCTTTTATTAATTATACATTGTACTATGGAACTGTATTATGAAAATAATATTTATTTAACATTTATGAAATATTTATTTTATATAATTATTTATTTAAAATAATAATTTCAAGAAAACATTTATTTAACATTATTATTGCAATATTGTAATTTGTGCTATATTTTTATTTTGTAAATTTCGTTTGTATAAAAAAGAAGTTTAATAAACATACGACAAAAAATGTTTTAGATATTATTAGAAGCAACATTGTTTGATAATCTTATTAGATGTTTAATCGAATTTACTTCCGTCATTTTATCGATTATTTATTCGTATTTAAAACAAGTGATAAGTCAATGTCATTATTTATTTCCCAGCTTCGATCTTCGGGATTATCTTCATCAAACTGTCTAGTAGGCGTGTCGGCAGACAGATGGTAAATGTCAATGTATAATAATAGATAGACGAATATTTTTAAAGAAGGTAAAATTTAAAAAATTAGTAAAAAGTAAAAATTCTTAAAAAATTTTTTTAATTTTATAGTATAAATTTAAATAATTATTAAATAATAGATTGTAGTTTAAACGCATTTACCGAATTCTCTCCTATTTTTTTCTTAAATTATTAAATAATAGATTGTGTTTAAAACGCATTTCCGATTCTCTTCCTTTTTTCTTTAAACAAATCTTTTTCTCTTTTACTTTTATGTAAACGTTTTTTATTTTTTTATGTAAATGGTGATTTCTGATTAATTGACGATTCTCGGAAGTATGACAAAGTTACAAATTAGCGAAACTTAAGCAAATGTATTATCAGCAAATTATTAATGCATCAATAAACGCGAAAGACATACCATTGTTTACAATTAATCTACCTTCAGGCAGTAGCAATATTTTACAAAGACGGAGAAATCTCTCGTACAGGAGGGATGATAAGCTGGCGAATGTCATCAGCTGCATTGACAATGTTGCGTTAACAATGGCATAAGTTATACCGTTGAAAACGGAGTCTTTGAGTTCGACGCTACGAATGACAAAAATTGTAGATAATAATGCAATCATTGCACGATAAGAATAATCATGAAAAATGAGAGCTAGATTTAGATATTTTAAAAAATGTTATATAATGTAAATGTTTTAATTTTCTGTAAAAAAGTAATAAGATACGGAAAATTGCGTCAATTATATAATTCCGATATTAAAACAAATATATATTTAAATTGATTGCAATATTGATTGTGAACGAGCAATCTCGATCAGCAGAATTTTGTACACCTAATAATCTATTTTTTTAATTTTTTTTAATTTATCCTTCTATGAGATTGTATCGGCTTTCAGTCAGTTTTTTGAGAAATTTGGAAAGTCCTAGACCTAGACCTACAACTAAAATTTGAACAATTCTCTAGTAAAAAAAAAATCGCAAAAAAATTTATAACACATTTTTAAACAAATTTATGAAAAAATGAAATTTAACTTTTTTATGATATTTCTTTTATGATATTTCATAAAATGTTGTGAAAGAATATTATAATTAAAATCGTAAATATTTTAATTTTAATTAAAAATGAATGCGTGTCGTCATAAATTTTATTCTCTCTCTCTCTCTCTCTCTCTTCTCTCTCTCTCTCTCTCT